ATGCCCATAGGCTGCAGAGCAGAGAGCAGGTTGAAGTAACAATATGAGTTTATTTGAACAGTTAGAAGTTGCTTTCAAACTTTGGGTCAACCCTTAGCTAAGGGGAATCAGCATAGCTCCAATGATTTTAACTGCACTGTAACAACTGAAATCAGGCTCATACACCCTTTCCATTGGCCCAGTTTTCAACTTTAAACTGTCACATAGGATAGTCTCATCTGCAGTGATATACTGAAAAAGTTGTTTCCATTAATGTGAGCCCTTCTTTGGATGAAAACAAGTTTTAAGTAAATGAAGCACCCTGCTGTACATTCTGAATCTGCACTGCTGAGCAGGGCTATTACAGCACATGTGCAACATTTCAGCTTTAATTGCTTCAGTGCTGAATGCCAGAGAACCACACTACCCAACAGAGGTGAATGCACATTGTACAGAATAATGGTTGAATGATTATTCAAGAGGAAAGGAACACATGCCAGGCTCCAGCACTATTGATGATAGCACACTGATGATTTGCTCTGAAAAATGACCTTATAAAAATTGCAATGCAGGGTTCCAGTTTTATTGTCTCAATAACTCTGAGGTCAAATCTTTGTAATTTACAAGTTTAAAAGTGCACACGCGCATGCATGTGTGCGCATGGGTTTCCCTGTCAGCTTTGCTAACTCAACAAATTCATCCCTTGAGCTGACAGTCAAGCTGTGTTCTTTCTAGATTGTAATATTCAAAGAACCATAGTGTTGGAAAGATCCTCAAGTATCATTTAGTACAATTCCCATCTGGAACTTTGGCCCTCCATCCTGCAGGTAATTAAAACCATGCATCTGCACAGAGCCCCACTGATGACAATCGCATCAAACCTAGCAGCTCTGTGGACTACCATGCCTAAAGTATGACAGTTTCTGTAGCCAGCAGTAAGTAAGAGAGTAATTTAAATGTAGCTAGCATCACATCCAACAGCCTTTGAGTCCCCAGCCTAGACAACCAGGTACCCATTTACAGCTTGGCAAACAAGGGACTGCTTTTGGCTTGAGTTCAGAGTAAGACTCACACTCATATCTCTGAAGCCACAGAAAGACACCCTCACTGTTCTGCCATGACAACCCTTGCTGAAGTCAACAGTATTGTAAAAAGCACGATCCCATAGAAGACAGTCTCTACCCCAAAGACGTTAGAATCTAACTGCACTTTTACAATGTAAGGATCATTTTAAGTAGCTGAACAGAGCTTAATATTCTTAAAGTTTAAATGCTATCTTGGCATAGACTTTAATGTAAGGGAGTGAATAGTGTTAACTGAACCTTGCAGAGCTGCTTTAGTAAATGCAACATGGATCCAGTACCAACATCAGCACAGCAGACTGAAATCAGAAGCTTGGCACTTACCTCCCAAGAACTGGATGCCTCCTGCCACCCTGCCCACATTTCTGGAGATGAGCTCGGACACACAGCAACCCATGAGTGCAGTCAGTGCCACCAAAAGGAGGAGGCCGCAACCCAGGCCTGTCACCACTGTGCAGATCCTCCATTCAGCACTTGGGATGGCCTGGAAGGATGCATAGCGGCCACACTGCTCCACCATAACTGTTGTCTGACGACTTTCATCCCGCACAGGATAGGAACACCTCCGAAAAGTGCCAAAGGACACTGACTTTTCTAGCTGAGACCCCAAGAGCCAGTAGGGCATAAAGAATCCTACACAGGAGGCAGCAGCACAGAGGAAAGAGAGAAATGCCCAGATCACTCCAGTACAAGTAAGGCTGGATGCCATCTTTTTACTTACAACCAACAGAAGTTGCAGTGAGAAGAGAGGGAGGGCTGGGCTATATATATGGGGCAATGGGGGGATGGGGGTGCTAGTTAGAGGAGCTACAGATGTAATCCAGAATCTTTCAGTCGTGATAAATCCTCAGTCTGGTAAAATCTTGAACCATAAGGGCCATGATGCTTTTCTCTTCCGCTACAGAGATGAAGAACCCTAGTGAAATAATATAAAGGAAGAAAATATAATGTCAATAACATCAAAGTAATAAAGTTAAAAATCAGTTTGGCTTCCTATTGCACTTTATTGCCTAGAATCCAAAGCACTGAGATACCATTCAAATAAAGAAATCACACTTCTATCTGAACATGATGGAGCTGCTATTATTACAAACAACATTTAGGATGATTATAACTGAAAGAAGTTAAAGAAAAACATCTCTTTTTTTCATTTTTTTCACTATATGCTCATTTACATACAGTATTATAGTCATTTTCACTGTTTTGCTGTGTAGCAAGTCATCTTCCTCTGCTGTTTGTAATGGTCTTTTATACAGCAAGGGAGGGAGATATTGAATTAGTTCTTAGCAATCTGGGCCTCAATCCCACAAATCTTTACATATACAGATAGTCCCATAGAAGCCCATGAGACTGCTTAGTGTTAGGAATATGCAAAAGCCTTCTTAGGGTTGGGACCTTGTGAAATAGGTAAAAATTATGAAAGCACCTCATTTGCTGATGGGGAAAAGGACCTACTGAGAAGTTAAACCTTTTCAAAAGTAACCGTGGATTTTTCATTTTCAGAAGTGCTGAAGTCCCGACTGAAATCAGTGGCAGTGGTGGGTATAGTGGGGAAAGACTACTTTCAGGGATCATTTCTCTAGTTGGTGACTAGAGAAGCATGTCCAAAAGTGGTCGGTCTCTCTTTAAATTAGGCCTAAACTATCCCAAGCTGAGCTTTCAAAAATTGCACTACCTATAATAAGTGGCAACTTTTAAAATGTTGGTTGTAGGCAGCGTGCTAAGGATCACACAGCAAGACTTGTGGAAGAACAGAGAAAAGCCCTGACTCCCAAGCCTCCCTCTCTAGGACAATTCTCTGGTTCTGTTCACAGCACCAGAGCAGATGGAGGCTTCCAGTCACAACAGCACTGAACTAAAACACTTCTCTCCAAAAGTCGGGGGGGGGGGTTATTGCTTTAAATCCACAATGGCTCATCAAGTCCCACTCAGTCTAACAGCATTTGTTAGTTTACGTTCATTTCCCACAGTGGCTGCTGAATTAATTCCAATAACTATTTACTGCTTTGCTTTTTAAAGCACCACTACATATTGAGCACTGATTTCTATTTGTGCACTGGCAATAAAATTAGTCCTGCACTCTTCCCAGCGGGAAACAGAGGCAGAGGTCTTCAAATGAAATGCATCATGTGTGCCTTGCTCCAGTTCACTTGGTGTTTTAGGGAGAAACAAGCCCCTGCTACGACTCTCAGAAACACCGAGACTCCGGCAGAAGGGTACATTACTGTGTATGTCCAGCGGTCATAATCTGCGCACGCTTGTCACCCTATAACAGCTTCTCTGCTTGTGTGATTAAAAAAAAAAGGAACAAAAGCAGAAGAGGTGCACGCTGGCATCCCGGCTTCCCTTGGGATCCCAGGATCTATTTCTTTGGGGCTTGAGCAGCCCAGAGCACACAGTGAGCACCGAGCCTGTCATAATGACAGAAGCATGGGCATGGCAGAGCCCTCAAAGGTCACCAAGCCAGATGCCTGTCCCCAGCCCATCCCAGACATGCCTCTTCTTGAAAGCCCAGGGTAGGTAAGGAGGGTCCCCCCTAGGCAGCTGGCTCCATGAGCCACGGAGCCCCTGGCCAGCCAAGGAGCAAGCGAGGCAGCCTTGGCTCTCCCACGACCCCGCTACAGAGATCCCTCCCTCCGCCCCCATCCCCATCCTCGGGGCCAGCTGCGCGCGGGAAGCCCCCGCCTAGACCGGGCGCCGCCTGCCCAGGGGCCCCCAAACTTTCCCCGGGGACCGCGGCGCGGAAGGCGGGAGGCAGCGCGGCGCGGGTCGGGGACTTACCGGCGTGGAGGAAACTTCCCTGCAGCCGGGAGCCCGGGCCGGGCAGGGGGAGGCAGGGCGCGTGCCCCGCCCCGCCGGCACTGAGGGAGGCGGCAAGCTCCGCGCAGGCTGCTGCGGGGTGGTTGTGTCCTTGCCCAAGGGAGCCCTCCCCAGTTAGGCAGCGGGGAGCAGGATCCGGCGGGTGAAGGCAACAGTCCTTACATGGACAAATATGGACTCAGCCTGGTGGCCTGTGTCCTTGGGCAGCCTTAACCCGGGGCAAAGGAGCAGGCAGGCTGCTGAGGCCCCCCAAGGCAGAGCTGCACTGCTTCCCCCAACTGACTAGTGGCAAAGATCCGACTTTCCCCAGGATCCTCCCTGAACACAAAAGCTTTCCCGCCTCCATCCCCTACCCCATCTTCTTCCCCGCGCCATCCTTTTGGCGGCAGACGCGTGAGATGTCCCCAGGCCCACGTCCAGCGCAGTCGTGGGAAACCGGCTCTGCGCTAAATGGAAGAAGGCTTTATTGACTTAAGTCCCTGTTTGCCCGCATTTTTGTAACAGTGACAGTCGTGGTCAGGATTCAGTCACCCCCGGCCTCGCTGGAGGGGTTCACAAAAAGGGAAACCTTGAAGCCTCAGGATTAAAATAGGAGCTGACCAGTTTAGGTCTTAAGGCTTATAAATACGACCTTTACACTGGATAGAAAGATCTGTCTCAGATATAAAGTTCAGAAGTTCTTTCTTTAAAGGATGTGGAAGGGAAGGAGTGTGGTTAATGTTACCGGCAGCCGGGATCAGAGGTCCTAGCTAGTAGTGCAGCTGTGCAAAACAGCACCGTTTCGTTTCCATTTCAACTTCTGTTTTGCCGTTCCGTTTTGTTTCATCAAAATTGTTGCACTATTTTGACACGTTTCAACATTTCACCCATATGCTATAATGGGGAATCATGAAAATACCTATATCTTTGTCATTTCTTGCCTGATATGGATGAAAATTTCAGGGAAGGTAGCCCCTTCTGAGGGCACAAAGCCTGCCAAGTTTCAAGGAGATAAGGGCAGAGCTTTCTGGGAAAATGCACCTCAAACTACTAAAAGCAAAACTCATGTTACTTGTTGGCAGCGGTAGCCTCCTGTCATCCTGTGCACAGATCTGGGGGCCTGTGTCCCTGGGAGGGCTGTGGGGCTGTGCCAGACTCCTCCCGTGGGTGTGGGCCCCCAGATCTGTACTCGGGATGACAGGAGGCTGCTGCTGCTGCCATGTAGGACTAGCACTGGGCACAACCTGCACCCACTGCCAGGAAGACTGGAGCTGCCACTGGCCCCAGGCAGCAGTGGCAGCCTCCTGTCATCCTATGTGCAGATTTGGGGGCTCACATCCCTGGAAGGAGCCCGGCAGTGCTGGGAGAGCAGGTTGAGCTCCATGGGGCTGGCAGACCTGCTCGCACAGCCCTGGCTCTCCCCACTTTCTGCTGCCGGACTGCACTCCAACCAGCTCCACCAGCCCCATGGAGCTCAGCCTGGTGGTGGGAGAGTCAGTGGCAGAGCCACTCAGAGCATAGCCCTGGCAAGCACAGCCCTGCAGTGGGAGGCTCTGCAGCCCCACAGAGCTGAGCCTGGAGGCGTGGGAGAGCCACTGGCCAGAGCTGCACTTGGAGCCAGGGCTGCACTCCAACCAGCTCTGCCACTGGCTCTCCCCCTCCTGCCACCACCAGGCTCAGCTCCGTGGGGCTGGTGGAGCCACTTGGAGCATAGCCCTAGCTCCAAGCACAGCTCTGGCAAGCACAGCCCAGCAGCTGGAGGCTCCGCAGCCCCACAGAGCTGAGCCTGGTGGCAGGAGGCGGGGGAGAGCCAGGGGTGTATCCACTCAAATTACAGCCCTGGCTCCAAGCACTGCCCTGGCCAGTGGCTCTCCTCCACCTCCCA